GGGGGGGGGCCGCGGGTGGCTCTGGGGACCCCATCTTATTGTCCCCCACCCTCAGAGCGTGGTGAGCCGCGTGGCCAACCTGCCCCTGGTGAGCTGCGCCTGCGGGGCCGTGGCCTCGGCGTACGGGCGCACCAAGGAGAGGCTGCCCTGCGTGCGCTCCGTGTGCCACGCCGCCGAGAAGGGCGTCAGGACACTGACAGCGGCAGCGGCCAGCGGGGCCCAGCCCCTCCTCACCCGCCTGGAGCCCCAGAGTGAGTGTGGGGAGGGGGAACAGCACCCCACGGGGCTGGGGGAACCCAAAACTGGCTCTCACCGAGCTCTCGTGAGGAACCAGGAGAGGGAGGATCTGGTTTCACACCTCCAGTTTGCATCGGCAATGAATAAACGGCTGGAGAAGCTGGAGGGTCGGAGGGGAAACGCCCCCCAAGTTTTGGGGTACCCCAGAACGCTGCCCTGGCAGAGCTCCTGCAAGGCAGCAGGGTGCTAAAGCCGCCTCTCTTCACATCTCCAGTTTCCACCGCCAACAAGTTGGCCTGCAAAGGGCTGGACAAGCTGGAGGAGAAGCTGCCCCTCCTGCAGCAGCCCCCCGAGAGGGTAACGCCACCCGGGGGGCACGGGCAGGGCCCGGCGCCGGGCGAGGAGCGGGGACGAGCTGTCCTCGCGCTGTCCCCTGCCAGGTGGTGGCCGGGACCAGGGAGCTGGTGTCGTGCACGGTGAGCGGGGTGGCGGCGAGGACGCGCTCGGCGCTCGGGGCCGTGGTGGGCACCCGCGTGGGCCGGCTGCTGGCCACGGGCGTGGACGCCGTGCTGGGCAAGTCAGAGGAGCTGCTGGATCGGTACCTCCCCGGGGAGGACGAGGAGCGGGGTGAGTGCCCACCATCTCCCAAATCTCGGGGTGCCAGGCCCTCCTGGGACCCTCACCCTTGTAGCTCGGTCTTGGCATTGGCCGCACACGGTGGCCCCACGGTGGTGCCAGAGCGCTGAGGCCACCGTGACCCCACGCAGGGGACAGTCCCTGTCTGAAGGACGCGGATGGCTCTGGGTGAACTCTCACCTGGAAACCCAAGAGCAAATATAGTCCCGTGTGCCCGCCTGGGTATTTATAGCTTGGCACTGGGTGACACTAGGCAGAGCTGGCCCCATGTCACAGCTGAGGTGACCGCAGAGGCCACCTGGCGCTTAGGGTGGCATCTCCACATGACCTGGTGGCCAAGCATCCTGTGGGTGCTCACGCTGGGCTCCAGTGCCCAGCACAGGATGGCCCAGCCACGCTGCCCTCACCCCTGGTCCCACAGCAGCGGCAGCAGGCACAGAGGTGACCACGGGCACGGAGGTGACCACGGGCACGGAGGTCACCAGGGGCACAGAGGTGACCACGGGCATGGAGATCACGAGGGGCACGGAGGTGGCCACAGGCACAGAGGTGACCACGGGCACGGAGATGACCAGGGACACGGAGGTGACCAGGGACACGGAGGTGGCCATGGGCACAGAGGTGACCAGGGACACGGAGGTGGCCACGCAGGAGCGGCAGAGGCGGTGGCAGAGCTACTTTGTCCGCGTGGGCTCCCTGACAGCCAGGCTGCCACACCGGGCCCTGCGGCGCTCGCTGGGGGACCTGCAGCGGGCACGGCTCCGTGCCCAGCGGCTCCTGGCCCAGCTCCACCACGTCATCCGGCTGGTAAGGATGGGGCAGGGACCGTGCCAGCCCCGTGCCGGCCCCAGGCACCCCCAGGTGTGCTCCCACCTGGCTGAACCTCCCCCCAGATCGAGGAGGGGCAGCAGGGCACGGACGGGCCCTGGCACAGCGCCCGGGAGCACCTGCACCACCTGTGGCTGGAGTGGAGCCAGCAGGATGCGGTGCCCATGGAGGACAACGAGGTACGGCGTGGAGGGACCGTGGGGGACAGATGGCTCCGTCTGGAGAGGGTGGGGACAGCGGCCATTGAGTCCCTTGAGGTGGGGACACGTGGCAAGGGGACACCTGGGGTGGTGACACCTGGGGCAGGGGTGGAGCAGCGGCCACGGAGTCCAGCTGTGGATCCATCCAGCTGTGGATCCATCCAGTCGTGGTCCGTCCAGCTGTGCGTCCATCCAGCCATGGGTCCATCCAGCTGTGGGTCCACCCAGCCGTGGGTCCATCCAGCTGTGGGTCCATCCAGCTGTGGGTCCGTCCAGCCGTGGGTCCTCCAGCTGTGGGTCCATCCAGCTGTGGTCCATCCAGCTGTGGATCCATCCAGCCGTGGGTCCATCCAGCCGTGGGTCCATCACCCCCAGCCCCCGCTGCCCACCCCGCAGGTGGAGGCTCGGACTCTGGCCATGCTCCACGGGCTCCTGCACCAGCTCCACGCCGCCTGCTCCCACCTGGCCACCGGCGCCCGGGCGTTCCCCAGCAGCGTGCAGGAGACGGCGGGACACGTCCGGCACGGCGTGGAGGGCGTCCAGGCTTCCCTGGCCAGCGCCCGCTCCTTCCAGGACCTGTCGGGGCTGGTGCTGGCGCAGAGCCGGGACGCCGTGACGCGGGCACAGCTGAGCCTGGAGGGGCTGCTGGAGCACGTGGGGCAGCACACGCCCCTGCCCTGGCTCGTGGGACCTTTCGCCCCCGCGCTCGTGGAGTACCCGGAGGACGTCCCGGTGGATATGTCCAAGTGGGAGGGCTGTGTCACCGTGGGGGGGACGCACCAGGTGCCCGCTGCCCGCCGGGTCTGCAGCCAGCACTGAGTCACTGGCGCCGCACCCACCCAGAGGCGCGGACCCCAATCCCACCGGGAGGGAGGGGATGATGGACCCGGTGACCCGGCGTGGGACCCCAGCGTCACGGCCGGGGACTCCTGTGGCGATGGTGGCACGTGGAGGACATGGTGTGAGTCTGTCTGGGATCCAGCGCTGCCCTAAGGAATACTGGAATTTCATGTCTTAACAGCTTCAAACCAGTTTAAAGAGGAAGAAAACAACTTTTTTGGCCTTAAAATGAGTCAGAGCCTGCAGTGCTGTGGCAGAGCCACCGTGCCGGGCTCACCGGGGGGCTCTGCACGGGCGGCAGAGCCGGGGGCACCCCCGAGGGGGCTCATAAGGGGGTGCCAGGGTGGGACAATGGGACGGGATTCCACGGGTTACTGGGAGAGAGTGTGCCACAAGGTACCAGGACATCTGGACTGTGACCCGCAGCCGTGTGGCACTGAACTTTGTCCCACTTGTCACCGTGGAGGGGCTGGGCCTGCCCCGGGATATCCCCGACGTCACAAACACAGCGTGGTCACAGCACCCGGTGGGGCGACACCGGGCACCCCAGGACCGTCCATCGTCCCACCGGCGGAACACACCGGGGCCAGCTGGACCAATTCCACCGGGCCAGGTGCGGGGGAGCACCGGGACCCCCGTGCTGGGGAGCCGCACGAGGGGAGGGGACGCTCGGGAGGGTCGGGGCCGGGTCTGTCCCGGGGGATCGGTGCCTCGGGGGGTCTCTAGTTCCGGGCTCGGGGTGTCACTGCAGCCGGATCCCGGGGAATCGCGTCGGTGTACACCGGTCCCGGGGGATCCGGTACCGGGGAGGGGGGGTCAGTGCAGCACCGACCGAGGAATGGGGTCCCGGGGGGCTCAGCGCAGCCCAGGCCCGGCGGATCCGGTGCCGGGCCGGGGCACGGTGCAGGCGGTTCCGGGGGTTCGCTGCCCTCCCGGCCCCGCGCTCCCCGCCGGTCGCTGCTCCCGGTCCGCCCCGGGCCGGCCCCGCGGGGCGGCTCCGGTCACATGCGCTCGGGGCGGGCTCGGGGGTATAAAGGGCGGCGGGGAGGAGCGGGGCGAGCCCGGAGCCGAACCGAGAGGAGCAGAGCCGACCCCAGCGCCAGCGGTGAGCACGACCCGGGGCCGGCCCGCGATCCTGGTTCCGATCCCGGTTGCGTTCCCAGTTCCGGTTCCGATCCCGATCGCGATCCCGGTTCCGATCGCAAACTCGGTCCTGTTCCCGATCGCGATCCCCGTCCTGTTCCCGATGGCAATCCCGGTCCCGGTCCCGATCGCGACCCCGGTCCCGATCCCGCCTGTGATCCCGATCGTGATCCCGGTCCCGGTCCCCGGGACCCCCCTGTCCCGGGATTTCCCAACCGCGTGGGAGCTGCCCCGTCCCGGGGAGCGGTGACTTGGGATCCTCCCTTCGAGAGGCAGGAGGGGGGCGCTGGGGGGGCTGACCCCACTCACGGTCCCGTCCTGTGCCCCCAGCCCCACCATGGCCACCAGCGAGCCCACGCCGGCGCAGCCCAAGGCAGAGGAGCAGCAGGTCAGTGCGGGCAAGGCGCGGAATTTGGGGGCAACCCACGGGGTCCCTGCTTGGAGACGGGGATCGGGGTTATCCCACCCTCCGATGGGCTTGGAGAGCCGCGGGAACACCCCAACACCATCCCCGGGGTGTTGGGAACACCCAACACACCCGATTCCCTGTGAGATTTGGGGGTCCCTCACGCTCACGCTGAGCCCTTCCCGCCCCCAGAGCATCGGGACACGCGTGGCCAACCTGCCCCTGGTGAGCTCGGCTTACGACATGGTGTCCTCCGCCTACACCTGCACCAAGGAGAGCCACCCCTACGTGCGGAGCGTCTGCGATGCTGCCGAGAAGGGCGTGAGGACACTGACAGCGGCAGCAGTGAGCGGGGCCCAGCCCCTCCTCACCCGCCTGGAGCCCCAGAGTGAGTGTGGGGAGGGGGAACAGCACCCCACGGGGCTGGGGGAACCCAAAACTGGCTCTCACCGAGCTCTCGTGAGGAACCAGGAGAGGGAGGATCTGGTTTTGTGTCTCTGGTTTGTTTTGTGTCTCTCTTCCAGCTGGAGAAGCTGGAAGAACAGATGTGGGGGCAGCACCCCCTGAATTTTGGGGTGATGGACAATTGCCCTGGCAGAGCTCCTGCAAGGCAGCAGGGTGCTAAACCCACCTCTTTTTCCATCTCCAGTTTCCACCGCCAATGAATTTGCCTGCAAAGGGCTGGACAAGCTGGAGGAGAAGCTGCCCCTCCTGCAGCAGCCCCCCCAGAAGGTACCGGGCCGGGCCGGGCTGGGCTGGGCTGGGCCGGGCTGGGCTGGGCTGGGCTGGGCAGGGCAGCACACTCGGGGCCCCCCAGTGCTTAACAGAGGTTTGTGTGTCCACCCAGATCATCTCAGACACCAAACTGCTGGTGACCTCCACGGTGACGGGGGCCAGGGATGTGCTGACCAGCACGGTGGCTGGAGCTAAGGATGCAGTGTCCAGCCGAGTGACCGGAGCTAAGGATGCAGTGTCCAGCACTGTGTCCGGGGCTAAGGATGCAGTGTCCAGCACTGTGTCCGGGGCCAAGGATGCAGTGTCCAGCACTGTGGCCGGAGCCAAGGATGCAGTGTCCAACACTGTGGCTGGAGCCAAGGATGCAGTGTCCAGCCGAGTGACCGGTGTGATGGACATGACCAGAGGGGCAGTGCAGGGTGGCGTGGAGCTGACCAGGTCTGCAGTCAGCAGTGGTGTCAGCACCGTGGGCCAGATGGTGGCCAGCGGGGTGGACTCCGTGCTGGGCAAGTCGGAGGAGCTGGTGGACCATTACCTGCCCATGACAAATGAGGAGCTGGGTGAGCAGCTGATCCCAACCCTCCGGGGAGGGTGGGCAGAGCCTGGGCAGAGCAGGGGAGGCTCTGTGGGGTGGTGATGGCGGTGCTGGGACCCCCTAAGCAGCTCCTGTCCCACAGCCAAGCTGGCCACGGCCGTGGAGGGCTTCGAGCCGGAGCAGCAGAGGCAGCAGCAGAGCTACTTCGTGCGTCTGGGCTCCCTCTCCACCAAGGTGCGGCACCGGGCGCTCCAGCACTCCCTGGGCAAACTGCAGAGCGCCCGCCAGAGCAGCCAGGACCTGCTGGCCCAGCTCCAGCGCACCCTCGACCTGGTAGGACCCAGCCCCCCGCCCCCTGTGCCACCCCGGGGTGTCCCCCGGTGCCCCCCCAACCCAACCGGGCCGTGCCCCTCTCCCAGGTGGAGCAGCTGAAGCAGGGCGTGGACCAGAGGCTGCAGGGAGGGCAGGAGAAGCTGCAGCAGCTGTGGCTGGAGTGGAGCAAGAAGCAGCCGGGCAGTGGCAAGGACCGGGCGCCGCCGGAGGTAGGAGCAGGGCAGGGGGTCCCCAGGGTGAGCCGGGGTGTCCCCCAGGCCTCACCCCCCCGTGTCCCCCCGCAGGCGGTGGAGTCGGGCACGCTGACCATGCTGCAGGGCTTGAGCCAGCAGCTGCAGAGCTCCTGCCGGCCCTTGGTGTCCAGCCTGCAGGGCCTCCCCAGCACCGTGCAGGACACGGCGGGGCAGGTCCGGCAGAACGTGGAGGAGCTGCAGGCGGCGCTGGCCTCTGTCACCTCCCTGCAGGACGTGACGGGCCCCGTGCTGGCCCAGGCCCGCAGCCGCGCCGCCAAAGCCCGGCAGCTGATGGACGAGCTGGTGGAGAACGTGTCCTTCAACACCCCCCTGACGTGGCTGGTGGGACCCTTCGCCCCCTCGGGCAAGCGCCCGGTGGAGCTGGAGATGGAGTAGCAATTCCGGGCTGCTCCCCTCCCCAAAAAGCCTCGTTAGGAGCCTTTGCCAAACCCCCCCAGCCCCCCTCACCCCTCACCTTGTGCCTGTGCCTGTGGGGACCCTCCTGCCTGCCCCAGCTCTGTCCCCTTGCTGGAGACCTGCAGTTATGTGCCTTGGCTGCCCCAAGTGCCTCTTGGGGGTCCCCCACGTCCTCGGTGCCTTCAAACCCCCGTCCTTGTAGGGTCAAAACAGCACAAGAAACAATAAACTCCGGGTAGTTTTGCACTGGGCTGCGGTTTCTTTGGGGGTGTGGGAGGGAGGAACTGGGCTCTGGAGGAACAACCCCCTCCCCAAGACCTGGGGACCCCCCATGTCCTGTCCTGAGCCCCCATTGCCCTGACAGCCCCCCCAGCCTGTCCCTGTCCCCGTGGGAGCAGGGTGGGAGGAGAGGAGCTGGAGTGGGATCAGGAGTGGGGTCCTGGAGGGGACCTCCCACTTCCCAGCAGTTGGGCAAGAGGCACTGGGCACGGTTTGGGCTTTATTTGGGTCTTGTTTACCGAGTGAGTGTGAAATCAGTGCCGGAAAAAGGAAAGCGTCCCCAGGGCAGAGTTACTGCAGCCTGCGAGGGGGGGTCGGGGCATCCTGCCCCGGGGGTCGGCACAAAGAGCAGGGTGGGGCCGGGAGTTCTTTACTGGACAAAAGCCCTGGAGCTTTGCAACACAGCAAAGACCAACACTGAGCTGCTGCCCAGCACGGGCAGGCTGGTGCCAGGGTCAGTCCCTCCCTGGCACAGTCAGGACAGAACACACCCTTTTACCCTTATTTTACCCCAGGTTGGTGCCCAGCCCTGCTGCCACCCCTGGGGCAGAGGGATCCGGCTCCAGCAGCTGCCTCTGGATGGAGAGAGGATTGTGATGGTGGGGAAAGGGGCTTGGAGCAGTCCCTGAGTGCCTGATCCTGGTCAGAGGGAATTTGGGGCCCCATGGGGTGCTCTCCAGCCCTGACCCTGGGCAGGGGGTTCAGGTTTTCCCCTCGTCCCAGCCAGAGATGCCTCAAGAAAGAGACACTGAGGTTCCTTCTGTTTTTCATTAGAAAACCCTTTATATTCATTTCATGTCGGTTGAAATCACAAGAAATTAGGTAGGAGGGAAAAAAAAAAAAAAACCAAAACAAAACAAAAATTAAAAACAGGGGGGGGAGGGGGACAAATACAGACACCAGCACAGCCCCCCCGCGGGCGGTGCCTCCGCAGGGACGGGACACGGGACAAGACCAAGGACATCGGCTACGGTGGGACTGGGTGAAGTGACTCAGGCAGGGGAGAGGCAGAGGCTGCTCTCCCTTCACAGCCCCTCCTCCTCCTCCAGGTGGGAGCTGCTTCCTCAGCTCTCCTCCTCCTCCTCATCCGCAGCCTCCGACTCCGCGCGAGCTCGCTCCGGCCCGGCCTTGGGATAGTCCTGGACGCTGCTGGGGGAGAGCAGGGGCAGGGAGAGCTCAGCCCCCCGCCCCTCTCCCACATCCCAGCTCCTTCCCGAGCTGGGAGAACCCTTTCCCCACCCACAGGATGTCCCCAGATCATCCCTGCAGCGACCAGAGGGGTCTGCAGCCCCCAGCCCTGCTCCCCACACTCACTTGTTGTGGGGCTCCTCTGTGGATGCCTCCAGCTCCCCAGCTCCTGGCCCTTGGCTCTTGTCCTTCTCCTCTGTGCCCTCTGACTTCTGGGACAGGGATTCACCATTCACAGGACCTGACAGGTCTGAAGGGAAGAGAGAGGGGCTCAGGCTCTTGGACCCCCTCATCCATCCTGACCCTTGGGGACTGAGGATCCATGGCCACAGACATGCAGCCGAGCCTGAGGGGACCCCAGTACTGGCCTGACCCCCACAGCTGCAAGAAGGCCCCAAAACCTCCACCCCCCAGCCCAGTGACACCGTCAGGGTGGATTTTTCCTGTCAGTTCCTGTGGGAAGGCTCTTGCAGCATCACCAGGACGGCCCCAGGCAGAGACCTGGCTCCCAGGGTGGAAGATCCCAGTCACCACTCCCCGTGCAAGAGCCTGAGCCAGCGTCCAAGGACATCTCCACACTCCTTCATGCCTGGACCAGAGCTCGGGCTGGCAGGGAGGAGCTGTCCTGAGCCAAAAACCAGCACGGAGGCCCCCAGAGCCCGGGCGTGGGGCTCGAGGTTTGCCCTCTGCTCTCACTGCATTCCCCATCCAGCCCTTTCCCACTCCTGGCACTCCAGCAAAGCGGGGCCTGGAGGTGCTGATCCCTCCACCATGAGGCCAACAGCCACCTCCCCGTGTCCCGTGTCCCCAGCAGGACAGGGCACGCCCCAAGGAGGGGACTGTGACCTGCCCAGACAGGGCAGGGAGTGGTCCCGGGACGTTCAGGAATGTTACCAGCATTTGTCTCCTCTTCCCCCTTCTCATTCCGTGTCTCTGCTCCCGACAGCTTCTCCTGGCCCTTCTCTGCCTCCCCCTTGTCCTTCTCAGGCCCAGCTTTGTTGGCTTTCTGAATGGATTCCATCTTTGGTCCCAGCACGCGCGACTTCAAGCGGGTGTAGACTTCGGCCGCTTTTTCCATCACGTCCTTGTTGGCTTTGTAGCGCCGGATCTGCCCCGGGGAGCAGGAGGAGGGACCCCTTAGAGCTGGGGCCAGGCAGGCTCCCCGCTGGCCCCAGGGAGGGCTCAGCCCTCTGGCTCTACCTTCTTGAGCGTGGCCACCACGTCCGTGTGCTTCTGGAGGATGTGGGAGGTGACCTGGAGCGTGCCCAGCTCCTCGAGCGCGTTCAGACACCGCTTGATGTCCTGCACGGATGGCAGCGGGGTCAGGAGCTGCCCTGGGGGCACCTGGGGCCTCCCAGCACCCCCAAAGGGAGGAGGAGGAGCACTCCTGGGTATCACAGCAGGGCAAGGATGAGCAGGGATGTCCCAGGCCAGGCCACACTCACCGGGTTATCCACCTTCAGCGCAAACTTGATCTCACTGTGAAGTTTCTGCAGTTTCTCTTCCACTGTGGGCTCTGGAGCAGAGAGAGAGACACAGGCTGAGATGTCAGGGCACCAGCAGAGCCCACGGCCCTGCCCAGAGCCCAGGATCTGCTCTGGGGCCTGGAATCACTCCCAGGCAGGGCTTTGTGTCCTCCTGCACTTCCACAGCTGAGCACAGCCCCGGGAATGCCTCTGGAGAGGATGGGCTGGGGTGTGCCAAGAGAGGGAAGGGATGCCAGGGAAGTGACCCTGGGATCACAGCAGTGCTGGGAAAAACCCTGGCACAACCTCACTGATCCCTCCGTGTCCCAGGGGTGGGGGAAGCAGCCCTGGAGCCCTCCCCTTCCTCTCCTCCCCTCTGTGATGGGAAGCAGTGGGCCTCTCACCCTTTTTCTTCTCCATCCTCCTTTCGGGGATCGGGTCGGATTTCTTCCGGCCTCGTTCCACTTTCAGAGGTCTGTGTGAAGGGAAGGAAAAAGGGAAGATGGTTGTGGTGAACCCTCTGCTCAGCACTGGGCTAACAAGGGGGATGGCACTGGCTGGATGCTTCCAAGACCCGTCCACCCTGGTTACAGCTTCCCAGGAATGCAGACAGGAAAAGCCCCATGAGAAAGAAATCACCATGGAATGTGATCCTGGTAACCTCCAAGAGCTGCTCCAGCTCCTTCAGCTCAGGAGGAGGGGAGGAGCAGGCCCAGCCCCTCTGCAGGTGCTGCAGCCCCATGCCCACCCCGGGGTGCCAGGGCTGGAGCTGTGCAGGAACAGCCCCATTCCCAGGAGGAAAGGGGAGGGAGGGAGACGTGGAGATGCTGACTTGTTCCGTGGCTTCTCCTCTGCTCGGCCCCTCTTCTCCTTCTGATTTGGTTTCCTTGACAACTCCGAGGGCTGCTTCTTCACCGGCTTCTTTACCTTGGAGGAGAGAACAATGCAGGGAGAGCAGCAGAGCCCTCCCTGCTGCAGCACAGCCAGAGCCACGGCCACGCCACAACGGCGCCCGTGGCCACCCCACAGTCACCCCATTGCCATGGCACAGCACCACCCCATGGTGCAGGGTCACCCCACATGCTCCCATGTCCAGGGGGACAGTGGAGCAAACCCCATGGCTGTGGTGGAAGAGCATCTTGGAGATCATGGAATGGTTTGGGTTGGAAGGGAACATAAAGCTCACCCTGTCCCACCCCTGTCATGGGCAGGGACACCTTCCACTGTCCCAGGGTACTCCAAGCCCAATCCAACCTGGTCTTGGACACTTCCAGGGATGGAGCAGCCACAGCTTCTCTGGGCACCCTGTGCCAGATGTGAGGCTCACAGCTGGATGAGGCATCCTGGGCCAGGGGAAGAGCTCCCACTCCAAGGCATGGATGCAACCCTTCCCAAAACCATGTGGGCAGCTGCAGGCTAACCCAAGACCACGAGGGCAGGTCCCTGCCACTCCTGGACGTCCCTGATGGCCTGACAGGGAGGTGACACGTTGTCCATCTACCCCCCCCAGGCCCCCTCAGCTCTGCACCCACCTCCTTCTCCTGCTCCAGCTCAGAGTCCGAGGAAGATGGAGCCTTGGCCCGGCCTCTCCGGCCCTTTTTGGCCGTTTCATCCTCGGCGCTGCTGTCCGAGTCTGTGTGCACCTCCTCGCCCTTCTCTGCCTTCTCCTTCCTCTTCTCCTTCTCCTCCTTCTCCTGCTCCCGGAGCCGACGGATCTCCTCCTCCTGCTCCCTCTTCCTCTTCTCCTCCAGCTCCCGCCGCCGCTCCTCGTCCCGCCTCTTCCACTCGCTGATGCGATCCACGTCGCTGTCGCTGTCACTGCCAGGACAGGGCAGGCTCGGACCCCTGCGTGACCCCCAGCCCAGCCCAAGGGTGACAGTGTCCCAGTGAGCTCACCTGTCACTGCTGGAGCTGCTGGGGACACGCTCTGGCTTCGGTTTCCTGCCCCGGGGCTTGGGAGGGGGTTTCTCAGCTGCAAGACAAGAGGGACATGTTCAGCAGGAGCCCTGCAGGTCCCTCTGTGAAAACAGCCCCGAGCTGCAGAGGGGCTCTAGAATGTGCCCAGAATTCGGGATGGAACCCCAGAGCATGGGGAAGGCTTGAGCTGCCACACTGCCATGCCGAGGTGGTGGCAGCAGCAGGAGCAGCAGCAGGAGCAGCAGCAGGAGCAGCAGCAGGAGCAGCAGCAGCCCGGGGTACCTGGCTTGCGGCCCCGTGGTGCCTTTTTCACCGACACATCCGAGTCCGAGTCCGAGTCCGACTTGGTCATGTCCACGGTGGCATTGCCCGTCTCCAGATCCGAGTCCGCCTTGG